TATATAGAATATAATAACTTTTAAATATTATTTACTAATAGTTGATCAGTAAGATTTAATAAATCTTTTTGTATTTCATTATTTATTGGTTTATTAAGAAATTCTTGTTTTTTCTTTGTTGAACATCTTGGACAAACATAAACTTCAAATTTATCTGCTTCGTCTGGTGTTATATTAACACATGAACCATGTAACCAATCAGCACAAACATCACAACCAATATAAAATCTAATTAAAATAAAAAAAAAGAAAATAAATCTTTTGTTTTTTTTTTGGTTTTTATTACTTTGATTCATCATAAGGTGTTTGACAAATACAATATAAACGTTCTTTAGCTTTTTGTGTTAATTTTGTACAATCTTGACATATAAATTCTTTTAATTTTTCAGCAAGACGTGGTGTTAAATTAACACATGTGCCATGTAACCAACGTGAACATAATTCACATTGTATAAAAAATTTTTCTGGTATATCAATTCTTTGACAACTACAATTAATATCTGAGAGATTAATTTCAGTTTTTTCTTTTTTATTTGATGAATTTTTTATTGTTATAATTTTTTTAGATTTTTCAGTTGATTTCATTTTAGCTATTGTTGTTGGTGATGAAGACGAAGAAGAAGGTTTATGATTATTAAGAAGATTTTCATCATTATCAGATGATACATTCACATTTGAACGACGAACTTTTTTTGATACAGGTTGTTGATCATTATCAGGAGTTTTTGTTGTTGGGAGTGGACGTGTTCGTTTAACTGGTGTTCTAAATGGAAATAAATATCATATTAGAAGTTGATATTGATTATATTTCGTCTTGAGTGTTTTGTTTTTAGGAAACATCGATTTTATCTCTATGAAAGATAATATAAATATGTCAGATAATCCTATCGTCGTTTTACGAAAGGTTCTAGTAGCATAGGAATATGAAACATGAATTTCATAAGTTTTGAATCCCGATGAAAGTTAAATTATATATGTAGATAGAAAATACGATCTTCAAATTGAAGGTATCTATAAGAAGTTTGAGTACTCTTGTAAAAATATTAATGTAAACAAAAGAATATGATATTCGATATCGATCTACAATTCGTTAATTGTCATGTTATATTGACTTTGGTAAGTCTTGTAGAAATTTCATCAAGTATTCTTTGACGATCTAATCTGACTGATCAATAGCTCATGACAAGTCTCATATGAATATTTGCGACAACTACTTATTGGTTCCTACTACACTTTTTAAACACAAATATGTTTTTCACTTCTAATAAGAAAAAAAATGTCATTCGATATTGTGTTATATTGCAACGTCAGTATGAGTACTCAAACCTCATATAGGTGCGTTCAGTTAGAGATTGTTTTCTCTATCGGCATATAAATATTTAATGTTCATCGATGTTCACAACTTACGAAACATCCTATATGATTGTTCACAAAATCATACAAAGAAGATTTGATCTGACTATCCTAAATATTTGATTTTATCAATTGAACGTCATGGATCTAAACTAATGATTATTATTGATCACCTTTTTATTTTTTGTTCAGATAATTTTGGTGTTTCTGATCGTTTATTTTTATTTTCATTTCCAGTACTTTTTCTTGATTTTTTATTTGAAGATGGTTCTGGAATAACAATAATTTTTTCTTTATTATCATCTGAACTTAATTCTTCTTGTTTAACAATTATTGCTTGTTGTTGTTGTTGTTGTTGTTGTTGTTTAAGAATCATTTGTTGTTGTTTAAGACGTTGTGTTTGAACTTGTTCTTTGACTAATGCCGTTTTTCGATTGAGACGATCTGCAATAAAATCTTTTCGAAGACTATCAACACGTTCATTTAATAAACGTATTAAAATTATTTGACGATGATCAGATACTGGTATTATTGTATTGCAATTTTTAAGACGTTTTTTCATTGATTCTTGATTTTGTTCACGTTCAATTCTAGTTATCATTGAACGAAGAATAGCTTCACAAATTTTCATTCTAAACAAAAAAACCAAAGTTGTTAGCACGAATTCCTCTAGGATTAAAATGTTAAACACGATATAACTGCTGTCGTGGGGATCCAAATAGACCCGTTATACAGTTTTTCGTCTGGTACAACTCTTTCGAAGTATTTCGCTTCTGTAATCTCTAGTCTTTAGTAAGTAAATAATATCCTTCTTCATCAAAGAAAATTAAATAAGAATAAGTCTATCATTGTGACAGAGAAACTACAGTTTTTAAATCATGAGAAAAAAATTCTTCTCTTCTTATCTATAGGCAATTGTATATATGAATACATCAGTGTATTTCTACCGTTCGAGATATATCTTAGGTCTTCATATTGCATCTATGGAAACTGATATCTAAGTCTTTATAAAAAAACAAACAAAAGTCTCAATTTTTTTATCTTTTGCTTCAACTCTGATCCAGGCAGAACCATTCAGGGTAGCAATGAAGTTCCGAATTGGGAACATCAACGAAGAGTTATTTATCCACAAATGCAATAAGGAAGTAGTTTATATATTATAACAAGACGCCATTACTATACAATCTTTGATCGTATATCAACAATGTCTGTCATGATCTGTGCCGCAGTGGACATTTTCCCATAGAGCACATTGGGTCCTACCCGAATCCAGAAATTGTTGAACCTGATAGGTTCTAGCAGGTGGATGTGTATTGTTTTTAACTTAGAAAGACTTTATTTTCTGCTCAATAAAGCTTTATTATCTCTCAAATGTCAATATCATCTGAAAAAATCAAATCCGAAAACTATTTTTTACTCATAAATCAATATGAAAGACCCTTATTCTATATATACATAGAGAATTTCTTTTATAAGAAGACTAATAAATTATATATTATTCGATATTGATTCTAAAGATGAAATTAACCTTACATAAATACGTTTCTATGTCGAGAAAAATCTTTAACTCAACCCTCGAACGCTATATCAGCGTTATGGCTAGAGGGACATACTACGAAAGTTTCGTCTAATTTAAAATTGTGGAAGACTGTACAAGTTCATTATATCGAACGCATGTTTTTGTAAAAGTACTCGATGTTAAAAAAGAATGATTTAAGATTATATATAATTTTCTCAGAAATGTTTTCTCCTAGGCTTCTAATTCTTACTAGCGACGTTTTCCGACTAAAGAGAAAGAAAGATCTTCCATGTCATTAAATAGCCCATAGGTCAGAATATATGTTGTGCTATTAAAAAAGTACACTTTCAATTTTTCACCTAATATACTTCCTATAATTCAACATTCCCTTGAGATTATATTTCAGCAAAAAAAGAATTGAATCATACCGAATGCCGTCTTCGGGATCAATTTTTATTTTTTTATCATCAACTATTGATGGTATTGGTATTGTTTTACGAAGATTTTTAGTTTTTTGTATAGTAATAGGTGTTGATTCAATTTTAGGTTTTATTGTTGAACCATTTGTATCGATTGTAACTGTTTCAGAAATTGTTGTTAATGGAGTATCTTCATTGATTGTTGGTTGTTCAAAACGTATGATTGTCTCTAATTGCTGTTGTTGTTGTTGAAGGAGAAGTTGTTGTTGTTGAGCAAGAAGACTATTTAATAGTTCATTTGATGATTGAATTGATGTTATAGGAGCTGGTGCTATTGGACGTAAACGACGTTCTTGTGGACTAATAGAAATAGTTTGTGATTGAGATTTTGGTGGTGATGGTGATGCTTTAATAATTTTTGAAATTCCATTATCATTTTGTTGAAAAGTTGTTGTTGGAACAAGAATAATTTGTCCATCAGGTAATTTAACAACAGAAAATGATTTTTGTTGTATGGGAAGATTTGTTGATGATGATTCTCCAGTTGTTTTGACAATAACAACTTTTCCACTTTCAGTATTTAATGTTGATTTAGGTTGTAAATGAGGTATACGAACAATAAATGGTTTAGCTGGTTGTTGTTGTTGTTGTTGTTGTATTGGATTATTTATTATTGTTGATGTTTTTTTTTTTTATATTTTTTTCTATCATCATTTGTTTTTTTATGTAAACGTCTATAAGATTTATCTTGTAAACATTGATAATAATATTTAATTTGATTTGGTTGAAGTTGTCTTTCAGGTAACCATTGTTCACTAAGTATTAAACGATTTGATGTTAATATTGATGATGGATGTGGAATAGCACGACTACGTGATTTTGATATAGGTATATTAAAATTTGATGTTTCATTTGTTTGTGGATGTATTGTTTTACGAACAAAATATTCACAATAAGAATTATATGGACCAGAATCACGTTTAGCTAAAACTTGAATTGTTGTTGCTATACCATCATTATCAACATGTGTTGTTATAGATGATTCATCAATATTGGAAAGTTTTTCTGTCAGAAGATCCCATCTAGAATATTAAAACAAAAAAAGAAAAAAGATAACATCTGTGATAATTATTGTCGGCTTTTTTGAAAGTATTGTATCAAAACGTGTGAATATTTTTTGTAAATTCGTTAAAAATGGCAGGTTATGAGATAAATTTTTATTAGCAAAAATATATTGTGAAATTGTTTTCTAATTACAGAAAGAAGTATATGTAAGTTACGAGAGAAAGACTTTCTCTATCTTTATCAAGTTCTACTATATTCACTTGATATGTCGATAAGTGATGCCATTTATTGACATATCAAACGGTACGAAGTAGAACTTACCATGTCATTCAAACTACGGTTTTTCTGTATGAACATTTTTAAACTTTTAGAAAAATGTTAGATTTCAGTTAAAATTGCGTTGCCTTATTACTGTGAACGCGCTCAAACTACTTGCACCATCCACAGCGGGTGTTGTCGTTTAGTTTTCTAGTTTGATTATTTAATAAAGATGACGCCTCAAAAACTATTCGTTAGGTATAAAAGTAGAATTTTCGTACCCGGATCCGATGAGCTCTAAAATGCTTAACCGATAGGAAAAAATGTGGTGCTCAGAGTCTATTGGGTCCGGCTGTAAAACTTTCAGTCGTTCGGATCCGGATCCGAAAATTCTTGAACCCGTTAGGTTGTTCCTACAAAAGATTAATTAATCAGATTCGAATCCAAAATTTTTATCGACCGGATTCGATGAGCTCTAGTGGCGCCATCTGACATAATATATATTGTGGCATTTTGAAATCGATCGTTTCAAGACTAAAAATATTAATTTAATAGATAAATTATTTAAAAAAAAGGAATAAAAGTTTCGAACCGTTAGTTTTAATGAAAAATTGACGACATGGATTGATACTGCATACATCATTATATAGAGAATCTTTCTCTACATTTATTATAATACAAGATATGATCTATGATGACTAGTTGCTAAGATGTCCATAGAGAGTCCAAATTTCTATTCCTATACTTCAGCATTCTTTTTAGATTGTGTTTTACAAAACAAATCTCATAGATTTCAAACAATCTATTCTTAAGTGTTGATACAAATGAAATATGAATCGTTAAGCTTATATATATGAAGATTATTGTTATAATTTTTGATAATTATTATCATTTAACTAACCTTATACAATTCCATAAATATTTGATATGATGAGCAATTGCAAAAAATGATGTACTTGTTTGTACTTTATAACACCATGCTGTTCGAACTGATGGTCTACCACATGGATAAGGCCAACCAAATCTTGTTCCAATTCCACTTAAACGTGAATTAATAAAACCAGGTATATCAATTAATGATATTGATGCTCGTGCAAGACGACGAAGTATATAAGATGGAAGTATAAATATATTTGATAATATAGATTTATTAAATGAAAATGTCCATGGTAATGGTAATTGAAATGGATTTTTAATAGATTTTTTTTCATTTATTAATGTTGTTAAATGAAATGGTCGACGTGTATCATCTAATATAATTGGATATCGATAAGATATACCATTATAATCAATTTTTTTATAATTAATAAATGTTAAATCATCAATTAAATCATCATTATCATCTTTAGCTGTTAATAATAAATTTTTTAATTCATTTTCAATATTAATATCATTATCTAAATCATTTTTAAGTTTAATTTCAATTAAATTAATTATTCTATTACGTTCATTTAATATAGCATTTGACATATTTTCACGACGTATTAATAATGAATTAATATCAAATGATTTTTTTTTATTATTTTCAATTAATTTATGTCGTGTTGAACGTATAAATGTCCATCCTTGACCACCAGTTAAACGATATTCTTCACCACGTTGTTTATGTACACTATGTTTTAATGGTCGTGTAAAATGTACATATTGTATAATTGAATCAGCATCAATTTTACGTCTTATAAATGCATCTTTTTCTTCTTTTTTAGCTTCATCACGTTCTTTTTCTGTTTCACGACGAAATTTTAAATAACCAACTTGATCAGTAAATAAATCAAAATATGAAACTGTTTTAATACAAGTTTCAAATTGAAGTAAAAGATAAATTAATTTTGATAATGATAGATTTTGATTAAAATCAAGTAATTGTTTAGCCCATATATAACGATAATGTTTCCAATGTGAATGCATAAATGGTAATGGTATTGTATTTTCAAAATAGACTAATGTTATACGTAAAATATCTGAAAGTTGTTTTAATGTATAATTTGATGTTATTGATGATGAGGGTGAATACCATGAAAATGTTGGTGAATGATTTATACTAAATTTACGTGCTAAATGTGCACGTCGATCACGTTCATTTAATAACATTTGTTTTCTTGTTGCAAGAGGATTTGTTTGATAATAATTTTCATAATGAAGATGACTTGTTGATGGAAGAATATCGTCTAGAAGAAAGACAAAAATAAAAAATCAATTGAATTCTATTTTCATAGAGTTTTAATTAATATTCTAATGTAAATAAAATTTCTTACTATCGACAAGTCGAGGATAGAATGAAGAAAAAAGAAATACTGTCGAACGAGAAAACAAATATCACATTTCATACTCATAAATAGAATTTTCCTAGATGAAGCTTTCTTATTCCACTGATTACCTTTGTCTATAGATACAGTAGTCACAAAAAGTAGCGCTACCAGATGAAAACTATCTAAACTTTAACCGTTTGGGCTAATATTTTTACCATAAATCGAACTCAGTGAATCCTGATCGCAGGCACAAGCCCGACCTCAATCAGTTGATGTATAACAGAATTAGTAGCACAATCGTATCATACCTTTGTAAAGACCGTATCTCAACCATTTTTCGATGTTCAATTTCGCGTGACCCCTCATTCAAAAACTCAACATCGGCATTATCTGTTGTGAAAGTTTGGTAAAAAATCACTTTGAATTAATGGAGATATGCTCTTCGTATTGAAAACCCCTGCCAAGCGGTTAGTGTTAATTTTCAGTCTAATGTCAAATAGTTCAACTTAACTTTGACCGATTCAGTTGAAAATTTTAGCCATGAGTTCTCATGAGCCTAGCAATTCGTGATAAAAGTTACAGAATCGTAGCTCAAAGTAGTATCGAGACAGAGTCATCAAAATACTTCATCACGGCACAGCTCGTCAATCAATGAGATCTCAATATTATGGGATGAGCTTTTGACTCAGTACACTAGATATAGGGAACTGCATTTAGCACTAAAAAAAACTTAAATAAATTGTAGTACCGTAAAACTATAAACAAAAGCATTCTGACATCACATTTTTTGCTTATGGTCTTTATAAGGACGATGATATGATTGAGCTACTAATTCCATTATACATCAACTGATTGAGGTTGGGCTTGTGCCTGCGATCAGGGTTCACTGAGTTCTATTTATGGTAAAAATATTAGCCCAAACAGTTAAGGTTTAGACAGTTTTCATCTGGTAGCGCTACTTTTTGTGACTACTGTACTATATAGTGTTTCAATAAAAATCTTTAAAGAGTTTGAATTTTTAATATATCTATTACTCAGAAATCTTTGTAGGAGTATAGGACACTTACTTGCTCGAACAATCCTTTTATACTCGACATTGGATAGTCGCTTCGAACATACGAGATATTTTTTTTATATCAAGCCACTTTTTTATGGCCCGGCCCAAGCCTGAAAGAAATTTTGTTTACAAAGATTTTTTTTCTCAATAGACAGCTATTCCATATTTTTCGATTTTTATAAAAAGTGATGATCAGGGAAAGTAGCGTGGAGAAGCTTTCTCCTCAGAGTGAGCCAAATCTCAGAAAAAGGGTAAAATCGTTGGGCCCGACGGTCCGCTATACATTTCTCAGTTGACTAGAGCCCATCGGGTCCAGGTCCGGGATTAACTTCCGACCTGCGACAGATGGTTATCGAACAGATTCTATACTAATTTTTGAACGGATGATACATAATAACATTAATTCAAACCATAAACTCAGTCATTTGAGTATCGAACGATTTCCTCATCGACAATTTGAGGGTGAGTTTAGATGAAGAGAAGACCTATACACCCTCTACATGCTAGCAAAATGCTTACACATAACTGCCTGACTTCCCTTGGTTAGATCAGAGTTTTCGAAAAAATTGTTTCTTTTTTTTGTGAATGTTACGATACACCTACCTTCAGTTAAAGGTCTAACATAGATTAACTTTAATGACTCGACAATCTATGAACTTTTCAAAATTTGAAAATACTTTCTACGAACTTTTGTATATTAGATGTTTAAATGAAAATAGTTTTTAAAGTAAAATTCAAAAAGATGAATTCTCAATGATGTTAAAATTAAATATGATAATATTACCTTTATTACTATTAAGATTTTTATTTTGTGGTACAAGATCAAGATCAATTTTAACATGATTTGGTTGCATACTCTTAATAAGTGATAACATTGTTTGACTATATGTAAAATCATCAAGATCTTCATCATCTGTATTTCCACTGTTTATTTTTGTTTTCTGACTTAAAATATCATCAGATTCATCTGTTCCAAAGCCATCTATACTAAAATCAGAATCATTACTTAATTCATCATTAGTTTTTAATAATCCATTAGCTAAATTTGTTGCTAATAATTGACTTTGTGCAAATGCAGCAAAATTAGTTAATGGAAGATTTGTTACAGTTAATGAATCATTTGATGATGATGATGAACCATCACGTCCTTTAGTTACAATTGTTGATGAATTACCAAAACCAAGACCTAAACAAATCAATTGAATTCATTTTAAAATAGATCATTTTTTTTTACCAAGTTGTGTTAAATCAAATTCTTCATCATCATCATCCGAACCAGTTTCTTTATCTTTTGCTCCGCTATCATCTGAATTATCTGAACCAAAATCTGTTTCTGAATCTCGTCGTGGTTTTCTTGATATTCTTCCACTACGTAAAACTTTTCCTGGTCGCCTTGGTTTTTCGTCTGTTGTTGTTGTTACTGTTACAGATTTAAGTTTAACTGGTTTACGTTTATTTCTAATAGGTTGCTGTTGTTGTTCATTTAATTTAGGAGATTCTATTTTTGGTTGAATTAAACGTTGATTTGATTGAAATGAACCTGTTGTTAAATGATTAACACCACGTGGTGGATGACCATGATGAGAACCACGTCCAGCTCGACCACCATATAATGGTGGTCGACCTCGACCACGAGGACGTCCACGAGTTGTACCTCGATAAACTCGATTACTTTCTATGAACAAAGAAAAACAAACTATTAGCATAATTATTATAGGATTAAAAATGTGAAACACGTATGTAGCTCCTGTTGCTAATCACAGAGAGAAGAATGTTGTTAAAGCATTTGTCTATGATTTGCAGATTCAAATTTCTATCTCTATATTTCAATACTCCTTTTAGATCGTGTTTCACATAATTCAATCTTTAAAATATCAAAAATATATATTGTTTTTGAATACCATATTTCCTGAATGGCATGTCGAATTCATCAATATTTTCTTCTTGTTGAAAAAAATCATCACCAAAATCATCATATTCATTATCAAGTAACATTCCATCTTCATCTTCATAATTATTACCAGTATAATAATCACGATAATAATTACTACGTGGATAGGATGTATGAGTTGTTGGATACGGACGATTATTATTATTATTAGTGGAATAAGTATTGCTACGATTATGAGAAGGAAATCTATTCATTGTTTGATACTGTTCATAACGTTGCCAGATTGTTTCATCAATATCATTTTCATTTAAACGTTTAAGTGTAACTTTTGTTTCATTATATATATCTTAAAATATATATATATATTAATACAAAAAAATTCAAAAAAAAAAATAAAACTTACTATGTATACGTCGTAATCGTTCTTCTAATAAAGATCTATTGGATGGATTAAATCGTGACATAGAGATTAAATCTAAGAAAGAATTTATATTTTAATATATAGAAGAATTTATTTTGTTTACCATTCGATACTGGCAATTCATTCGTATAATGATTTTGTCCATTGATTTTCTACAAAAATAAAGAAAAGATTTTTGAAATATTTTTATTTTCGATCAAATTTATTTGTAAATCTTTGTTTTAAATATTCTCATTGACTTACTGATGAATAATTATAATTATTAGTTGAATGAACAAAAAATTCTCGTTTTTTAATAAATGATTTTCTATCTTTTTCATCATTATCATTATCAACAATTCCATCTATCTGACCATGCATAATAAAAATATTTTTTTTTGATTTTATTTTTAATTTAATAATATCAATAAGATGTTCATAATCAATATTTGATGTTATGAATTCATTAAAATGATATGGTATTAAACCATCTGTAAACATTGATAAAGATTTTTGATCATCATCATCTAATGTTGATACATAATCGTTCGTTGTTGACATTATATTTGTCATTGATGGTGATCTATCTAATGGTATAGACGCTAAATATTTTTTGAAAAAAAAATATTTAATTGATTTTAAAATTTTATAACTTACTAGCTTGAAGATCAATTGTTATTTTCATACAACGTGCTATATCATTATATCGTTTTTGTAAACGATAAGCTAATAATTTTTCTGGTCCTGTTTCATCAAGATAGGATAAAAGATTTTCAAATTGATCCAATGTAGAATAATATCGTACATCTTCACCGGTTTCATCCTCTCTATAGAAAATTCTTTGATAATAAAATAAAAACAAAAGACATTTTTGAATTAACTTACACAAATAGACGACGACAAACAAACCAATATCTTCGTTGTTCTCGATCATGACCAATACATCGATGACGTAAATAAAATGGTCGATTTTCTCGTGGAGGAATACAATCTGTTACACCATGTACTTGATTTTGTATACAAACAGGACAAAACCATTCAACAGTTGGTACACTTGTCAATGGTGGATTAAGACAAGCAAGATGATAAGTTGCTTCACAACGGTCACAACAAAGTAAATCACCACGTCTAAAATATTCATCATTATTTCAAAAATGAAAAAGATGGATGGAAAAACCTTAAAAGCTTTTAATATTATACAATTCAATGCATCTTGATCTTGATTTCTATTAAAAAATTTCAACTGTCTTTTGTTTTTAAATGATCATTAGTATTGATTCACGAAAGAATCTTCTCAACTTAAAAATAAGGATATCTAGACTTTTTCTAAAGGATTATAATCGTTTTACTGAAATTATACAAAAGAAAATCTCATATTCTTTAAGAAAAATTTCAGTAAAACAGCTATACGGCTTGTCCAAACGTAACGCTGTTACGTTTTTGACATACTCTTCTCCAACTTTCTCGAAAAGTTTAAGAGCTAGGAAGTTCGTTCAAACGTCATTCGACGCAGCTTATCGAACTTCATTTATCATATAAAAATGACCTTTTTTGATTGAAGTCTCAGGCATCTAGAAATGTTTTATCATGGCGTAACGCTGTTACATAAAAGGACCCTTTTTTCCAGTGCCACTGAGAAAACTCTAATCTCTTGCGAAATCATTTCTTCAAATGTAATGCTCCAAGAATCACTTTTGTAGAGCATTGAATAGGCTTTCAGGCAGTAAAAAAGATTTTCTCTAAAACATTTTTGCTCAAATAAAAAATGCAAAAAACAAACGTAACGCTGTTACATTTTTCGTAACGCTGTTACACAGTTTTTTGTTGACCAATTTTGAGGCACTTAATGCACTCGGAATCACTTGATTTTTATAATTGTTACTGTTTTATATGTAGACAGTCTCCTCTGCAAAAATGAGATTGATACATCGATCTGAGAGCTCATAAACTGGGCAGGAAGTTGGAAACTTTATCGAAGCTTTCAATCCGTTCTAAGCTACCAAAGTCAAAACTAAATAGACCATTTTGTAGAGAATTTAATTCTGCATCGAATGATATGTCTATTAGCCCTTGTTGAAAAAGTTTCTTGGTTAAAAAATCCAAAATACGGTTTTTGAAAATTTTAAAATCTGATTTTTGATATCAAAATCTGATTTTTATACTAAATCAATATCAAATTCGTAATCAGCGTAAAAAACTGCATCTAGTAGTCCAATGAGATCTGTCCAACTCGAAAAAAATTTTTTTCAAAACTTGATCAGCGAAGTGTCGCGTTACTTGGACAAGCCGTATAACTCTATAGAGAAAACCTTAGTGCTTTTAACCCTTCGGCTATAGGATTATTTTTTTTTCTAAAAAATTAAAATTTCTCTTTTTTGTATATACTTTATCAAAAATTTTTTTATCAATACATATGTTTAGAAGTGTGAGATACAACACTAATCCTTTTTTTTTTGAAGCTATTGTTGTATTACTGTAGATATGATACCTTGACCTTTTTGTTCTTTCAGATGTACCTTTAACTGAATAGTAAAGAAAAATGTCGTGTAGTAAATCTGAAATAGTCTTCCTTTTAGCTTTCAATAGCTTCGATAATGGATCGAATAACTTCCAGTCGAAAATCCGATAGATGTATTAAGTAAAATCACATCAAGTGAAGAAGTCAATTGTGTTATATTTATTATGCGTTATGGATAAATTTTTTCACGAAAACTGATATCATCTATAGCTAAATTATTAATCGTTTGCATAGAATTCGAACTTAAAAATGATTGGGAAGGTTTTGTCCATCGAAACCATAAAAAAAGTTGTTCTAATTAGAGATAAATATTCCATTGGCTTGGGAACGAATTATCTTATAAATCATAAAACAAATAAAAAGATGATTTACTTTTGACATTTTCTACAATTATCATCATGTTGTTTAGGTTTAGTATCATCAAATTCTCTTCGTATTGTTTTTGTTGTTAATGCAACATCACATAAAGCTAATAAAAGATCGATTTTTTCTTGAATATTAATATTAAATGGATAATCTTTAACAATTGATATAAATATTTTTAATTGTGGATGTGATGTAACATATAATTGTAATATATATGGCCATGTTATATAATCTATAGTAACAAATGATAAATCAATAATACCTTTAATATCAGTTTCTGATGCATATGTTATACTATCATCATCATCTTGTTTAATTAATAAACGTAATAAACATATATGAATTTGTGAAAATAATATATTATTTATATCAATTGATTGAATAATTGATGTACAAAAATGTTCAAATAAAAATGGTGAAAGACGTAATATTGATGAAAAATGACGTAAAAATTCATAAATTGTTGCTAAATGTAATGCTTGTTTTGGTGTTACAGATAAATCATTTGAACTTATTGGTAAATTAAATATTTCATCATCAATACCAACATCATTATTATTATTATTATGATAATAATCAATAGATGAACTACATTGATCTTCTTCAATATCATGTTCATTTGGATTTGTCCAAGATGATGATGGAAATGAATCTTCGTCATAATGTTGAGATATAGGATGTGCACGTCGTTTTGATGTATAACATATTTCATTTTCATCTTCAAAATCAGATTCTATTGAACGTTGCATTTTTCTATTGTTCTGAATTGAAAGAAAAAAAAAGAAATATAAAACATTTGTGTTATATTCATCTTCCATATTGATTCCATTGTTATACCTTTATGTAAAACCTCTATTGATAGGTTGAGATTTAAAATAAATAAATAAAAATATTTTTTATCAATAGAGAAAAATAGGAAACTTTGAAAAAATAAATTTTATATTATTAATATAGCGACATCTATAAGTTCAAGATTATTGTTAGAATACTTAATCTAATCGATTGTAGTTTTTTCTAAAAAAAAATATGTAAAAATTTCAAACTAGTTTATAAAAAGCGGTAAGATATTGAACATTGATAAAATATGGATATTTCATTATAACAATATAGGTAGTCCAATTTAGTATTTCCAATAGCCAGTTTATCAGGTAAGAAATAAAAATGTACTTAACATCAATTACTTCTGAAATACATACGTTGCTGTACGATGCTCATAAAAATAGAGTGTACTATGCTAAAGATATCTACATTTTGAATCCAGATCCTTAAGAGTTGTGTATTGTATTAAATTAAAGCTTATCGTTATTACATCAATTGCTCATGCTGATTGATACGCATATCTATATTTCCTCGTAATTCTACGGACAGTATTGTGGCATCGAATATGACTGTTTATAAGCCGTAATCTTATGATGATACCGTGGTATTGCTGTCCGCAAATTTACTGCCAGAATACGATCAGTTTATGTATAGTAAATTAACTGTAAACAGCTGTATACAAATCGTATTGTTTAGTCTAGATGATGGTTTTTCAGAGATGAAATTGGCTTGGTTTTAATAGAAACGCAAACCGTTCTCATTTCTAGTGTTTATTTTTCTTGTAAGTATGCCCAATGATGAAATTAATGCATGTATTTATCGTTGATTAGTTTACTAAGTATTAATTGACGTTTTTCCATTAGTGAAAAGATACGAATATAATTTTTTGTTGTTTAGATTATGAAAAACTTAGTTTTTGTATATTTTTACGAACGAAAAGAAAGTGTATTTTAGAAATTATTAATCAGTTCTATACTAAAATACTTTATAAATTAAAACAAAATTAGCAAAATATATTCAATTTTAGATTTCTGTGTAAAATTTTGCAGTAATAATTTGTTTATTATTGATATTGAACAATGACAACTGAAAATAAAACAGATGAATATATTAAACTGAGAGTTGTTGAACAAGATAATAGTATGAAATATCTTTTTTTTTATTATTGTTGTTTATATTAATTAATATTGAATTTTATTATAGGTGAAGTTCATTTTAAAGTTAAAATGACAACAAATATGGGTAAATTAAAAAAATCTTATGCTGAACGACAAGGTAAAAATTGTATTTAATTTTTTATTTGTCTTTAGTTTTTCTTTTATTTTTTAAATTAGGTGTTGGTATAACAACTTTACGGTAAAATATAATTAATGATTTTGATTGATAATATTTTGAATATTAATTTTATTTAAGATTTCTTTTTGATGGTAAACGTATAAATGATGATGAAACACCAAAACAACTTGAAATGGAAGATAATGATACAATTGAAGTGTATCAAGAACAAGTAAATAAATAAATTTATTCTTTTTTTTTTTTGATTTTTAAAAATTAATTTTAGGTTGGAGGATTTTATTGAATCTATCAAAAAACAAATCTTTTTTTTTTTTATACAATATTGTAATGATTTTCTTTGAGATGAAAAAAACTAAGTACATATTTATTTAAAAATAAATGTTCAATTGATATTTTCTAATAAATAATTTTACAATTAGTAATAGTAATTAAAGTATATAGTAGCGAAGAAAGAAGAGATTGCATATTTTTTTTATATTAACCCCTCCTCCCAGCAATTCTCTGTGGGTCCTAATTCTATCGATTTGATCTTTTATTTTATTTAAAAGAGCAAATAAGACTGCAGCGTCCTTTTTTTAAATTCATACTTTCTATGAGGAGAAAAAGAATAGTATGTTCCAATAACTCAAAAAAAAATGTCATTCATTTATAGAAGTGCTTTTTTACACAATAACAAAAGAGCTTAATTCAGAAAACGAACTCTGCATCTTGACATACTCTTTCAAATGAACAAACAAAGCAATTAGCTACAATGGCGCTCCTTGTGAAATTCAGGAATTTATCTCAATTGCGATTTTTCTGACAAAAATTGACTTTTTTTTAAAAGAAAGGGGGAGAGCTTAAAGAGACCTTCCTGTGTCCACGATTTTTTGGGAAACGATCCGACGAAAAATGATGAAAACTTTAAAAGACAGATAGATCTCGATAAGTAGAGCAAAAGTTATCATAGACTCAACATTGCCAGAAGTTTCCTTCCTCTCGCACAACTTTATACTTCATTTATTCGAGCTGCAATTTTTTTATAATAAATAGAATCAAATCCGAAGAAGCAACACACTGGAAGCACCGACAGAAAACGTGTTTTTTTCTTTATTGGTACTAGGTTTTTAAAGATTACCAAATTTCTATGGAACGGCATTTTGAAGAAAGAAAAAAAAACACGCTCCCCAATTTGACTTAAGTACTCATACAAAAAATTTGAACCCGATCGGATATACTGTGAGGAAAATAAGCGGGAAAACTTCGTTTTTGTGTTCAAAAATTAATTTTGAGACAAACACAAAACAAATTTTCCTCAATGTATCGAAGACTTTTTGGTCAACTAAAATAATTGACAACAAGCCGTGTTGCATATGGAGAATAATTGTAGTGTGAGTTTTTCTGCAAGGGATTTTAATAAAAGTATTAATGAACAATGCAGAGCTCTCGTTTATATGGCATTTAACAGAGGATCTCCTGAATTGATAACTTGTTATATTAATCAATATGATGAAGATTGGATAAAACATGTTGATAAACTAAAACATCTATTTGAATCAAATTTTGAATCATTAAAATAGATAAACAGAAAATGTTATGACGTAAGTATTTTATCTGATCGATTATTCATCATCGCACATAATTAAATGATTAATTTCTTTTTTCTCAAGAAAACAAATCAAAATAGTTTATACTTAAAAAACTTTCTGATAATTTCATACTGCAATATCTGATTCAACGACATGAGAAATGACGTATTTTGTCATAGAAATAAGTAATTGCGCAATAAAACTCAACTTACGACACAAGTGAGAAATAACTACATTACAACAAAGGGAAAGTTCTCACTAGCTATAATTTTTAATAAACAAACATTTCTCACGGCGTTTCATCGATGAAAGATAAAGCTATTCATTCATTTCTGACATTACCGGTAGAACTTGTCTGTCGTATTCTTGATAAGCTTGATACATTTACTATTCTATGTTCAATGCTCAATGTTTGTACACGCATTAATGTAATTGTAGATGCCTACCGTCAACATCAGGTAAAACATATGATTTCTATTATTTTTCGAAATATTATTCATTGTTATTTATATGTCTCAGTTGATTTTTGTTTTCTGATCTATCATATTGTTTTAAATTGAATTGAATTAAAGTTTGTTTTTTTTTTCTTTGAAATCTTCCAAAAGAAAATATTTACATAGAAAACTATTTGTTTTTTGAAACTTTTACTAGAAATGAAATATCTTCTCAGTTTAATTGATTAATAGAGAATTGAATAAAAATTTACAAAAATAATCTTCCCATGTTTTTTTTTTATTTTCTCAAAATATAATATAAAATTAACAGTAAAATGAAGTTTGATAATTGAACATTAAATTTTTCTATAATTCAAATACCAGACAATCAATACATTACAATCTCTCGGCAATCAACTCGACCCTCAAATAATATATTATCTAGCTAATATATTACGACATGACAAAGTAAGAGCAATTTCTTTGTTATCTATCTCATATTTATATATATCATTCAATATAGAAAATCACGAAGATAAGACTTGGAAATAGTGCCATCGGCGATATAGGGACGCGATATCTAGCTAATGTATTACAATATAATACAGTAACACTTATTTTCTAGTAATTAAATTCGTGTACTTTTATATCATTGAATACAGACACTCATCACACTTGATATTCGATACAACAAAATTGGTCCTGGAGGGGTACAATATCTGGCGAATGCATTGTCATATAATACAGTAGAATTAGCCATCAATACATTCATTTTAAATATACCTGTAACATTTAACATAGACACTCATTGTGCTACATCTTGGATACAACGAAATCGGTGATGAAGGAACACAATATCTAGCAAATGCATTACATCAGAATACAGTAACACCAGTTTTTTGTTTTTATTCAACCATTTCTTATGCATCTATGTCATCTAATACAGACACTTGCTGCTCTACATCTTTGGGGAAACAAAATCACCAATGCAGGAGCACGAGATCTAGCAAATGCATTAAAATATAATAGAGTAAGACTGATTTTTCTAGTTGTTTGTCTCATGTATATCTTTATCATTCAATATAGACATTAATCAAACTTGATCTTAGATACAATCAAATTGGTCGTGCAGGAGCACGATATCTAGCGCATGGATTGCAGTATAATACAGTAGGATTAGCTCTTAGCTCATTTATTTCATATATATATATCCTATCATTTAATACAGACACTCACAATGCTAAGTCTTGAACAAAATTCAATCGATTTTCAAGCAGGACAATATTTCGAAATAGAAATGAAAAAAGTTCCATTAAGAGTGTGGCTTTAATCAAGAGTAATTAAAGTTTTTCATGATAAGATTATATTTTAATTTTCGAACAATTTCATTTGTACTTTAATACAGTATTAAAATTCAGAAAGTTTATAATACGGGTTTTTTTTATTGAAGTATTTTTGTCGAATAAATAAGAATATTAATATAGATGACAAGCTATTTTCTTTATCTAAGTTTATATCAATAAGTATTTTAACTATCAAATATCTCAGAATTTTTGGAATATAATTTGTCATTAAGATATTTTTGCAAAGACAAATCATAAATATTTAATTCGTTTTTTATCAGATTCGTCAAGAAATTTTCTAAAATAATAAAACTAAAAGATGTATGAAATATTGTAATTTCTTAGTCATTCAAATACAGTTCTACATATTAAAAAACCGTGATAATCTCTTATATAAAAGGTGCCTATTGACATATATTGATTATCTTCCAGTTAGATGTGATCCATCTGTATTCGTCATAAGAGCAGATTTGCTCTGTATGCGAGCAAGTGTTACTTGAAATACATTTTATTTTTTTATCTTGGAACAACAAACATTAGTTATAATTTCTTTTCTATTATTAAGTCCAGACTCTTTTCTATGTTTCAAGATGAGAATGATTTTATGATACTGAAAGTTATGTCATATTCACACAACATTGATATAATGAAAGTATTTTTAATAACTCACTCATATTGTTGTACACCAAACCGATATTCTTGTTGAACATAGTCTAATGAAGAGAATTTGAAGGAAAAGTAACGGGTAGGACAAAAGTTTTGCATTAATTTTGTTGTTGATATAACTCTGCAACCCAATGTCGTACAGACTCGATTTTTTTTTGTTAGAAAGAACAAAGTGTCTAGTGCAAGAATATATAAAAGAATTTGATTTGTAATGTTTTTCGAAGGCCACAATAGTTTTAGAATATAAGGCTCCAAAAAACTCTTCCGCAACTTTGGTCACATTTTTTTAATCCAAAAATATTTGTTTGAGCCTTTTTCATTAGCCACTTTCGAGTACCATGTATATACAGTTGTTCATTACAACGGAGGTTTTCATTTGATATTAAAGTAATTGGTATAACATACAAGAGAATCAACAAAAGACACTTTGATAAAAACAAATTAATTGTTCGAATTTGGTTTTGCAGTGTGAAAATAAGTTTTTTTCTGAATATATCACAGCTAAGTTGCGTCCTATTCCAAATAATATCGTTTGGTAGAGGACTCAATAAACTTTCTTTTTCATATAAAATATATAGCTTCTAGCAATCTCTTCTGCGAAAACAGTTTATTTTTTCGACTGCTATCAACAATGATGAAAAATTGATGACAGACGATATCATAAAAGCGTTCATTTCGACCGTTATAAAGCATATAGAAAATTTCTTTTTGTGTAACGCAATAGTGCTCTATCTTTACATTATAAAATCCGGATTAGACAAATAAAAAGATAACCTGTCTAATTATAGGAATTTTTTCTCAGTTCAAAAAAGTTGCGGAAGAGTTTTCCAACGCCTTCTGTTCTAAGATTGTTGTAGTTTTCGAAAAACATTTCCAATCAAATTCTTTTATATATTCTTGCACTAGACACTTTGCTCTTTCTAACAAAAAAAAATCAAGTCTCCACGACATTCCGTTGTAGAGTTATATCAAAAACAAAATTAATGCAAAACTTTTGCCCCATCCGTTATTTTGTTCCATGGTAACAAATCTTTTCCAGAACAGAAAGAGCATTCCAATGATCATCCATATTCATATACACCAAACGCATGTTACTGTAGAAAGAAGTCAAACCAGGATGTTTTGGAGTACGAGTATTTTTGTAGATTTCAAGTGATTTTTCAAAGAATTCCATTGCCTCATTGGTATTTCCTTTGCTTATGTTTTACTCTGTCAATTTAATTGTAAATAGTTACTTTTTTTACTACTATCTATTGTATATTCCAGTATAGTCTCATAAACTTTTTCGACTTGAACTAACTAATCTTTTAAAAATTAACAATAAACATAAACCTAATCTATACCATCTTGTTGAATGCATTCAGCCAAAATAACAAGACCTTTATTACTGTCTCTGATAAATGTCAAGAACACTTGGGAATGTTGATAATTGTTTCCAGTAGTTTAATTTTGTGAATAGGAAAAAATCGTATGTATTGAGAACAGAACTTCATCTTTTTTTTTTCTTCATAATAGATAGGATTGGTAATATGAGCAGATGTTGTTCTTGGTTGAGAAAAATCAATAGTAATAATGAAGGAAATTCCCACTAAATCGGGATTTACAAGAGAATGTAGATGTGGATGTATGAGTGAAAATAAAACACGCTCCCACACTCTAGTCCAGTTTTATCTCTCTGTGAGCACTGTTCAAAAAACCTTGCAAGAAATTCATTCGACATCAATTCAGTTATTGAACTATATTTCGAGTACGCGAAGAACATACTACTCAGTGACAACCTGGAGTTGTATCTGTTTTGTATCTTTGTGCAAAACTGAGCTTTGTTTTTTACATTCTCTCTTCAAAGGAAACAATATTTAACAAGTAATTGATAGATATACTTTATTCGGTCACATGCTTTATATTCTTCATGCACTGCTATATAGACGATGCTTTGCCGCTGCATTGCATACAAAAGCTTCTTGCAACCTTGTCCGCCCTAGAGAAAAATTTTATTGGTCTGGGACGGTGTTCTACTTCATCTCATTAGCAGGGTTCATTACTAATCCAAATATTCACTATGATTCGACTTTTAATTTGTAGAATCGGATTAACGATTGTATTGGCTCCGTCGATATCTGAGTGAAGTTTTTATGATGGTTTTCAAAATCTTTCTCGCGAAAATAATTGAAGAATTCATGCAAGACAAAATGTTACAAGAAATTTGTCTTTCAAACGACTATGTCATTCCATCCTTGATCCTTGTTATTAGAGATTGACTGAAACTCATTGTCAATCAATGTCTTGACCACCGATCAATTGACTTGACAAAAGTTTTATTTTCTGTCACTAGTTTTTGAGTACTGGATGTCAAAAGTAGGAAAATGAGAATCTGATAGTCATATAGATTTTTCTCGTTGAAAAGCAATGACTTGGTATATAGGATAATTTCAAGCTAAGATTTGATTTTATTCTCAGAATTTTTTGAGGTAAAGACGCAACTATCATAATTTCTATCGTGTTTGATATGTAAAAACTATATGAATAATTGGTTCGAAAACTCATAAAAATCTTCAAACATAAATCATTACAATGCCGTTGTAGCGTCTCATATATAGCATCACACAGAGCAAACATGAGAACAAGACACAGATCAGTTAACAAGAGAATCGAAATTCAAAACGTTATAATATAAGTTGTATCAATCGAAAATATTGTATTCAAAAATAATCCATGTTTACAGAGTCTAGATCTTTGGAAGTAGTGGACTGGTTTCTTCTTCTATGAGACGAGTGCCTTTGCATATGTGGATGCTCATTACTGTATATCTTTGTTTGATTTTCAAAATTTGTTTGTCGATGTATCACTACCCGCTTCAAGAGTAGTCCAAAAGTGCACATTAAACCACATAGTATGAGCGTCGCGAAAGTTAGAAACGCAAGAGAGAGTTTTAAAACAGCCAGTACAATAAGCGCGATCACAAGACAAACAATAATTAAAAGAACAATAGCTAATCCTACTTTCCTATGTCCGACATGAAAAGTGAATGCAAAGATGGTTGCAAATAGACCAATCAGACCAGCACAAAGACCTAATTGGTTGAGAACACTGACAGATGATTGATGCATAATGACCCAACCATAACACCAGGCAAATTCACCAGTAGCATTCGAAAGGTTTCCGATACGACCCGGTTGGCAGACAAAACTTGCTGTCGGCGAAGATATTATTGTTGTCTTTGGGAAGACAAAACAGTCCATTTGATACGCAGGACACAGCTCTCCAGTTGACATACTCTCGATGGCAAGAAAAAGTCCATTGAAGATTAATACTGGCATTAGCGACAGAATAATGCCTGTGATGATTACAAACATCCATTCAATTTTCGTGTACTGTGAGATTGTTTTGTCCAAAACAACATCATAAATAATGCTAGTAGACGAACTAGTATCGTTTCTCCTGAAATAGATACCGAAAATATGCTCAATTAAGAAAAGTTTTGAAGAGTATGGTAGAAGAAGAACAATAACGATCGTTAATACTATTAGAGCAATAGATATGCCAACGTTCGCACCAACGTAAGCGCTGTACGACCAAGTCATTCGCAGGTTGATAAATAGTGATCCAATAGCTAAAAATATTCAAATCAATGCGTATTGACTCTACAATGGGTTATGTTGATGTGTTTTTATTGCTTTTAAGCTGTATCAATCCAACTATTATTACACTCTTTTCTCTTTTTTTTCTTTCTTTCTGTTATTCCTATTATCGAACAAAAAGTTGTTATGAAGTCTTCGATATTATCGTGCAAAAGTTTTGACGGTGAATAGGTTTTTTTCAATTGTGCATGCGATAGAGTGATTCAAGCTGAGACTTATTATTATTGATTTTCTCCTTTAAAAAAATCTGTCTTCATTTCCCACAGTCGCCAATGACATTATGAATAACTTCTTACTCATTGAACTTCATCAGAAATGCTAGGATCATTGTTTCGAGCATTTACTGCTTTTTGACTATCTGCTGTAAAACAAGGTTGCTATTGAGTTTTCTATACAGCGTATACTATAAATATCTTTACGAAAAAATATTCAATTTCTTCACTTTGTTTTAATCGATTGACCTAATTTTTCTCAGTGATGAAAAAGACTATAGAATTTTTCCATAAAGACACTGTTAGTTCTCTCGAAACTTCCAAGACTACCGTTCTATGTATGGATATGGATTTATCAGTGAGCGTAAATAATGACAGAATAAGCAGCCACACTCATAATCGCTCTTCACTTACTGATTCCATCTTACGTGTAGAAAGCATGTGGATGACGAACGGGTATACCAACGCCAA